CGGAGAGCATTTGCTTGATCTGCTGGTGGTAGTTGGCAGGCATGCGAGTGTGATCAAGCGGCTTTTTCTCATTCTGAAGCAGAAGGAAGTGCTGCTTGGCGCAGAGGCTGGCCTTGGATCATCTGGAGTGCGCAGCGGATCTCGCGCCGGCCCGTGACACTGTCTTTTTTCACGCGGCACTGACTCCGCTGAACTGCATGCTGCGATTCTCGCCTTGTCCCAGGAGCCAGGTGCGTGTGTCTAATCGTAGTGGGGGCCCTGCCCCCCTCTGTTTTCTGTTTTCTGTTTTTCAAAACGCCCGCCCGCCACCCCCCGAGGCGGCTCGGCCCCCCCACTCTGCACTCACCGAGAGATCAAAAACGCTCGGCCCCGCCCCCACCGCGAGCGCGCGCGTGTGCGCGCGGCACCCACAGGGAGACGGTCCGCCCGTGCGCCGTGGCGCGTTTTTGACCCAGCCGCGTCACGCCGCGCTCTGCTGATGGAAAAGACAGAATGTAAAAATAAAAAACGAACCGGCGACTCGCGCGAGACACCACACGTCGTAATTGAACCATGGCGTGCGTGGGGAATTTATGTGTTCGTACGATCCCGAATAATATATATTCAAAAGCGCTTGTGCCTGCCCTAACCGTCGCACGAATCTCGCGCCTCGCCGACCCCTCGCCTCAGTGGTCGCGCTCGATGTGCCCGTCGGGCCCGTCGAGCCTGAACCCAAAGTTGGCCTCGATGTCACCTGCGGCAGCGCGCGCAGAGGTGAGAGGCAAGTGAAAAGGGAGGGAAGGGGGCGCGGGCGGCGGCGCGCACTCGGCCGCCACAACGGCAGTGTCGAGTTCGCGATCCAGAACACTCGCGTCAGTTGCGTCTTTTTCCGCCTACACGAGCGCGGGCAAAGAGAGCGCGGTGAGGCGGCGCCCACACTCCGCCTGCGATGAGCGCGCCGGGGGGCGAGGGCGCTTGGCGTTGAAGGCTTCCATCGCGCCGAGGAACTTTGGAGACACAAACGCGTTCGCGAGAGTGGCCGACTCCTCGGCGTTGACCCGCCTCAGCCGCTCGTGCTCGGCTTCGTCAAAACAGCGGCCGCCTGCGAGCCAATCGGCCGGTTGCGCTCCGGCCGGCGGCGGCGAGGGCCTCGCGCGGGGGTGGCGGCGGCGAGGGCGGCGAAGGCGAGGGAGGAGGCGGTGGCGAGGGTGGCGAGGGCGGCGAGGGCGGCGGTGGCGAGGGTGGCGAGGGCCAGCTCGCGCCTCCGGCCGCGATCCTCTCCTCAACGAAGCGGGAGGCGCGCGCCACAAGCTCATGCGGCTCGACCACCTGTGGTGCGGCGCGGGCACGAGGGGCAGGCTTGGGTGCCGAGAGCGAGCGCTCCGAAGAAGGACGGAGGTTGCGCAAGTCGGGAGGCAGCGGCAAAAGGCACGAGGGGTGCGCGTGGTGGCACTGGTGGCGCGGGTGGCGCGGGTGGCGCGGGTGGCGCGGGTGGCGCGGGTGGCGCGGGTGGCGCGGGTGGCGGAAAGCTCCGGCGGGGGCGCGCCGCATGCAAAGGGGTGTAAGGAGAGAGAGGGTCTGCGCCGAGGTGCTACGAGGCGGTGGGCTGCGGCGCCACGCGCACGAGCTCCTCCCCCCTCCAAGAGATGGCGAGGAGAGGTCTCGGAACTGTCTAGGAGAGGTCTAGGCGAAGTCGCCTCGCGCACGAGCCCCGCGTCGCGCGCCTCGGCGGCGCTCGGTACCCAGTTCTCCTCTCCTAGACATTTCCGAGACAGACAGATCTAAGACATGTCCTGACCAAGGCGCCCGGTACCCGGTGGACCCCCTCACCGAGCATGCGGTGCGCCGCCGCCTCGCCCATGCGCTCGGGGAAGGTGACGGACGAGCAGCCCTCGGGAGGCACTCCTGCGGCGGAGGCAGCACGCTGGTCTGGGGAGACGTCTGGAAACGTCTAGGAATCCTAGGCACTGCTGCGGCGGAGGCAGGACGCTCAGCGGCAAGAAGAGAGGCGTCGCGGGTGGAGGACTGCGAGCTGCTCTGGGGTCGAGACGCGCACTGGAGCGTCGCACGTGCGTGGGCTGTGCGTGGGCGGGCGCGCGCTGCGCGCCGAGCTTGGCGAAGGGGAGCGAGAAGGTGGCGGCCGGCGAGGCGAAGCACGCGTCCATCAGGCAGGTGGAGGTGACGGCTGCGCCGATGGCGGGGCCGTTGACCGCCGCGACGATTGGCTTTGGAAAGTCGAGGAAGCAGGCAAACAGCCTTTGGTTGCGGTCGCGAATCTGCCGGATCAGAGAAGAGGGCGCCATCGGTTTGATCATCGCAGAGAGGTCCGCACCGGCGGAGTAGTACTTGCCGCTTCCCGTGATGACGACGCCCTTGACTGCCGGGTCGGTGGTCGCGTCGGCGAGCCCGTAGAAGAGCTGCGAAGGACGGCGGTAGGGGCTGGGGCGTTTTGGTGTGTGGTCGAAACTACTGCAGCTTCCTCTCGCGAGCCTTGTTCAGCAATGGGAGAGTCCACGCGTTCAGCTTTTCGGGCTGGTTGAATGTCAGCGTGAGGACGCCAGTCGGGCTGAGGTCGTTTTGCAGCAGCGGCGCTGAGCTCGAGCTAAGCAAGCGTCGAACAGGTTTCCGGGTCAGGGGACTCGCGCCACGCTTCATCAGCGCTGCCAGGGGGCGCAGGGCAAGGTTGCATTTCGAAAAAAAATATAACCGCCGGAAAGACCGCGTTGGTGTTTTCCGAGCCTGGCTGTTCTTCACCTTCCTACATACATACATACATAGAAAGACTGCCGGTGAGAAGCCGGAGGAAGGTCGCTAGAAGACTGAGATGAGACCGCCAGTGGATGGATGGAGTTGGGATTCCACCGTGCACCGCGCTGCGAGCCTGTCGTTCGTGTCCCTTGTCAGGAGCAGGAGAGCCCACCTGTGCCCCTGATCGTCCTTCCAAAATCCTGCTCGTGCAGGTGTGGACCCTGTCCTCCTCCCCTATCCCTCGTTTGGGTTTGTGTTTTCTTTCTTTGGATACCCATCACTGAGCCGACAATGCTACGGGTAGCCCCAGGGTGGCGCCCACCCCCATACCCTCGGGCACTTGCCTGCGCCCTCACGCGCTAGCCTACGCCCTGCCCCGCAAGATCTCACTCCATCCCGGCCTGCGGCATACCTCGGCACCCCCTTGCACGGAATCTGAGTGTGAGGGAATCTGAGCGTGAGGGAACCTGAGCGTGAGAGAACCTGGGCAGTGCCGCGTAGTGCGGCGTGCGCGCGGGCGTGCGCGCGGGCGTGCGCGCACGTGCGCGCACGTGCGCGGGCGTGCGCGGGCGTGCGCGGGCGTGCGCGGGCGTGCGCGGGCGTGCGCGGGCGTGCGGTTGCTGATGCACTCCAAGTGCCCCTGAGCACGGGAAAGACCGCGTTGGTGTCCAGTCCGAGCCTGAACGCCCGTCCAGGCAGGACGGACGGAGGCGTTAGGACAACGCAACCCTAACCCGTAGCCAAATTGGCACTCGCGCGTAGACACTACTCCTTGCTGTGTGTCCCTACGGTATTAAGATGCCGATAAATGCCTCGTAAGTTCGCAACACAAAGCGCAACGGAAAAACGGCGCCTCCCTCCCGTGCTCCGCAGCGTCTTCCTTTTGTCATGTCTCCAGCAATAAATACAGCGGCCGAGTGCGTCGCCAGCAAGACGGCGGCCGAGTGCGTCGCCAGCAAGACCGTCGCCAGGCGGAGGCGGAGGCGGAGGCGGAGGCGGAGGCGGAGACGCGGAGGAGGCGGCGGCGGCGGCGCGGGTGGCGGTGGTGCGGGCAGGCCCAAACTGACGCTCCGGAAGATCAAACAGAAGGCAGGCATCGGAGTCTGCAGCCAGATGTTCGGCGCTTTCGTCGGGTTCTTCATCAGCTCGGTCTTTGCGCTTACGACGTATGGCCTTGGCCTCGTCCTCCCGCTCATCCTTTTGTTCCACCCTCTATATTTGCCCTGTACAAAGAGCACGACCCTCGGAGGTCTTGCGATGGGGCACATCATGGTCGGAGCTGAGCCACGCGCAGAGGGGCGGGGGCGGGGGGAACGGGGAGGTAAGGTAATATTAAAGAGGCTTAGCTGGCAAACTGCCCTGTACGAAACACCATTTCCGCGCTATGCGCACGTGTCAACGTTGAAGATGCTCTCTCACCCGCAACCCGCACTTGCGTCACTCGTCTGCGCCAGCAGAGGCCTTTGGACGGTCCGATCGACGGGTCGGCTTTGAAGGTGGCAGCTTGACGCCTACGAGCTTGAGCGGCGTCCCCAGCCATTGATGTGCCCTCCACTCGTGAAAGAGCGTCTGACCCATCGCCTGCTCGCTGTACGGGAAGACGACGCATCCGCGCGCCAGGCAGCGCCCCATTTGGCTACCGATGAGCCACGGGTTGGGTGGTGCTGTCAGCTTGTGGCTGTCTGTCACTGCGCAGCCCGGCGGCCGTGGTGGCATGTCCAGACGCTCTCACTTGGGCTGAAATGGGCACGCGGCGCCAGAGCACCGGACTGGCGAGACGACCAGGGAAGTGCCCTCAAAGCACTGCGGGTACTCGGGTAGCTTCTCGTCGATTGCAGGGTCGAAGACGCGGAACCAGAGCCGCTCGAACGCCGCCGGGAGGAAGAATCCGTTGGCACCCACACGGTTGTCGATGGCCCCGATGCGCGGCGGTGCGAGAGGGCCCAGGTCGACCGCATACGGCCCGAAGTTTGCCCATTTTGCGTTCCGGACGCTGTCCTTCTTCTCCTTGGGCGTGGCATCCCCCTTTGCTTTGGGCATCATCTCCTTCAGCGGCGACGGCATTGCGGTGAGCTCGGCATTCAGCCTCCACCAGTACTGCGAGCGCAGCCGAACGGCGGCGCGAGGCACCGCGAATTGGAACTTGCGCGGCCAAGAGATGTGGCGCGGAAAGCGCGGCAGCTGCACGCTTGACGAGGCTTCACGCGAGGCCCAGTGATGGCGAGTCGCTTTTTTTTGCTTGCGTTTGCTCTCTGGAATATTCAACGTCACGAGCACGCCAAAGTCGTTGGGCTTCTCCGCCCTGCCGACCTGCTTCTCATTTGACGTGAGTATGCGGCAGACTCCGCAGCTCAGCGAGTGACGACAGGAACGAGTCGGTCGTCACCTGATCCGGTGAGTGCCACAGCAGGTGCGGGCGACGACGTGCTGGCCATCGCGGTGCGGCTTAGAAGCTGAAGCGAGCGGAACGCCAAATTTGAGCGTTTGAGGGGTTGTTCATGGCGCGCAAGGGGTACTAACTTTTCCGAGCGTCGAAACCTCGAAGTTACTTCGAAAAGTAAGTTGTTACTTCGAGAGAGCTCGCGGAGAGCTTAGTTTTACATGGTGTGTGTGTGGCTCCCAGCGCAGGGGTTTGCCCGTTTACCACGGAGCACGGTGGGGGCCCCGGGGCTGGCACGGACCCTGACCAGTGGACCCTCAGCCCGCCGGCGCGGAGCGCGCCCCGAAGAAAATTTTGAGGGTTGAGGACCCCTCGACACTCGGCACCACAGACTTTACACATACATGTTGTTGTGATACGCGGTCCGGTGTGCGGTGACGGCAGTGGACTCACAAACTCGATAAGGGACCGCAACACGGTGCATCTGTATGTGTTGCCCCGCCGCCGTAAGAGGCCCTTCAGGAGAGCGCACATAACCCCCTCTCTCCCGGACGCGCAGCTGAGAGGTTGGGAAGGGCCTGTACGAGAGGACAGACCAATCGAGCGCGACGGCGACGGCGGCCGTCGCCGGACGGCGACGGCGGCGGCGGCGGCCGCGGCGGCGGCGGCGACGGCGGCCGCGGCGACGGCCAGCCTCAAGCCCGGGCCAAGTTGGAGGCTGGTCCCCGCGCCCCCTCCTGCGGGCCGCGGCGGTTGCCAAACACAAACTCGCGGTCCTCGGCGACGGCGGCGACGGCATCGGCCACGTTGCGCTGCAAGTTCATGTTGACGCGAGTGTGGTCCGCCTTCAAGAATGGGATTGGACTCCACTCAATGAAAAGAACTCGACTCGAGTTCAGCTGAGGACGCGCGTGGCGGTCCGCCTTCATCTCCTCGAGCAGCTCGGCGGCGGCGGCGGCGTTTGGGCGCGGCTTGCGGCGGAGGTGGTGGTTGATGAGGGCGTGGTACATGCCCTGACGAGGAATGAGCTCGGCTGCACCTCGGCTGCACCTCGGCTGCACCTCGGCTATCTCTCGGCTGTCTCTCGGCTGTACCTCAGCTGCACCTCGGCTGCACCTCAGCTGCACCTCGGCTGCACCTCGGCCGCACCTCGGCTGCACCTCGGCCGCATCTCGGCTGTCTCTCGGCTGTCTCTCGCCTGCGGCGGGGCCAGCTCGGCGTCCTTGCACTCGCGGTAGACGACAAACGCGCCCTGCGGCTCACCGCTCATCATGTGCAGCGCCACGCGGTGCTCGTACGTGGTGGCATTGTGTCCCACCCCCTCCGCCTCCATCCGGTTGAGCAGCCGCCGCGCCTAATCTCGGGCAACCTCGGGTAATCTCGGGTAATCTCGGGTAATCTCGGGTAATCTCCATCCGGTTGAGCAGCCGCCGCGCCTACACGACGGCTCCGAGAAGGCTCCGAGAAGGCTCCGAGAAGGCTCCGGTCGAGCCGACGCCGCGCCGACGAGAACTCGCGCGCGCGCACGCACGTGCTGAGCAGCGCATTGTACGTCTCGATGTCGGGCGAGAGGCCGAGCTTTGGCAGCTCGGCCTACAGGGACGCGTCGGGGACGTGTCAGGGACGCGTCGGGGATGTGTCAGGGACGCGTCGGGGACATGTCAGGGACGCGTCGGGGACAATCGGGCGACACGCCGCGGGGCCACAGTGTGTGTGTCTGCCGCACGTCTCGTCGCATCTAGAGGCGCGTCGCCCACGTGGCGAAGGCGCGGTCGAGGTCGGGGATGCGCGCGCAGGACAGCACGACCAGGTTCGCGGCCTTGGGGGAGAGGGGAGGGGGGGGGGGTCCGGGGGGGGGGGGGGGGGGGAAAAGCCCCAAAACTCCAATTCACCCTGAAAAAGGGCCGGGCGCCTCTTGGGGGGGCTTCCCCCCCCCCGGGATGAAAAAACCCCGCCCCTAAAAAAACATCCCCACCCTTAATGAAAA